GTATAATTAAATAACATTAATTTTATTGGGAAAGAAAGAATGTAATTAAATGTAATAACTTTTGACCATGCATTATTATGGTACATGTTTTCTTATGTAATAATAATTATGTTTTTATCCGTGTTTGTTAAGAATGGTTTGAGTTAAATTTTTAAAAAAGGAAGTTGTTATGCGATAAATGTTACTGTATACAAATTTAATTTGTACCCTCAAAGTAAAAAAAGGGATAGATTATATATCAAATTCAATTTTGTAGTTATACAAAGTCATGTAGTTATATAAAAAAATTGTTGATAATGTTAAGAATAAAAAACAGTGTTTTTTTATGTCGGACATAGTGTAGGTTTGACAGGTTGAATCTGACCATTGTTATTCATATTTAACATGATTGCATAGAATTTAAAACGCTAGAAAATGAATGAATGTACAAGGCTGTTCTAACAATTAGCATGAGGGTTGGTATTTTTGTATTTCAGAAGGAAGTGAGGACATGAGTCATATTCGGGTGGTAGAGCTCGCCCATGATGCGAATGGTTCTCTAGGACTGAGTATTGCTGGAGGAGTTGGTAGTTCTCTAGGGGATACACCCATACTGGTAGCTAACCTAACTTCTGGTGGCCCTGCTGAAAGGTCCAGAAAATTAAAGGTATGTAGTGAATAATTTTTTGTTTGGTAGATGACTTAAGATAAATAAGTTTTGCTCAAAAGTTTATGTGTATAAAAAAAAATTTCACAAGATGATCTTTCTAATTTAAAAAAAAAATTGTTATTTTCTTGTATTTCAGTGTGATAAAGATTAAATTTAAATTTAGAAGCATTTAGGCACACCTCTGTGGTCAAGGGGTTAGAGTCGATGACTTCTAATCCAGTTACCTCTCTGGCGTGGGTTCAATCCTCGGGAGATGCTTTGGTAGTTTAGCACGGAGGAAGGTAGTCTAGTACTGGTGTAGCTCTCCAGGAACGATGGTAAGGAAACTACCCGCCTATAATATGACTAAAATACTGTTGGGAAAAGGCGTAAAATGAAACAAACAAACAATTTAGTATACACAAACATAATCTATAGAAATAGAAGAATAGATAGTCTTTGATAGTCATATGAGCTGAAAGGGATAAACATGTAGAACATTATAAATGATATATTTACAGGTTGGAGATAAAATCCTCAGTATAAATGGAGTGAGTACAGATGGAATGAATCATGAACAAGTGGTCAACTTGCTCAAGTCCTCGACTGATTCTATTACACTACAAGTAACACAAGGTATATATTATACATAACATGTTACCACAGTGTGAAACCATCATATTAACAAAAACTTCGTAATATTACATAACTGTCACCAATAGGAGATCACCTTATGACCTTACACGAAGCCAATCAGTAGCTAGCTTTAAAATTTTGGAAACTTATTGTTAACCATTAGATAACCAAAAACAATTGGTGTGATGGTCACAATTTCAAGAAACAACAGGAGCATCCATGCTTTTTATGTAAATGGCTCTTGTATACCATAAAAAATGAAAGAATCTAATTTGTCATAGAAAATACATTAAACAATATATGAGCCGCGTCATGACAAAACCAACATAGTGCGTTTGCGACCAGCATGGATCCAGACCAGCCTGCGCATCCGCGCAGTCTGATCAGGATCCATGCTGTTCGCTTACCAACTCTATTACAAGTAGAGAAACTGATAGCGAACAGCATGGATCCTGATCAGACTGCACGGATGCGCAGGCTGGTCTGGATCCATGCTGGTCACAAACCCATTATGTTGGCTTTGTCATGACACGGCTCATATTTATTGATGATGTGTATGTTTTGCTACACAAAATCAATAGCATATGTCTGACCTCTGAAGTTAGATTGATAAAACCATTAGATTACATGTGAACACAAGGCAGATGTATAAACGTTTTTTATCACATAAACCATGGCGCAGGAGTGTTACACGAGTGTCATAACACTTTGACATGACGGCATTTGTGCTATATATAAACATAGTGTTTTTTTAAATGCGCTAATGTTAGCGTTACACTGTAGGTCCGTCAATGAGAAATTACTCTTTTTAACAGTTTACCATTCTTATTTTATATATGTTATAAATAGGATATTATATTTGTGTAGATTCGATACTAAATTTATTGAAACAATATTATGCTTGCCAGAGGCTCGCATAATATGATTTTATTCAACTCATTCAATAAATTTAGTATAATAGTACACCTACACTCATTCAATATCTTCTATATGATGCATGGCCATGTGAACTTAAAACAACTTTAACAATGTTCTACCTAGATTGTTTAAATGAATGTGATTATGTTTGAAAAGAAGGTTGTCTACAGAAACCATAAACACTTGCTCTGTAGCTTTGAGCTGTTGTTTGTCAGAAATACTGTTTTTAATGGATGATTATACAATAACAACAACATAAATTGTGCAAAATATACAATATTGAAAAAGGATTTTAGGTCATAAACAAATTACAATTTATATTTCATGAGGTAATGAGTAATTGATTAGAATATTTGATGTGAATACAGGCGAGCAGACACAAGTAAGCGTAAGTGGTCGGACATCTTCAACGCGAGGCTCTACCCGAGGATCTACGTCTGGGATGACACCTGAAATACCTACAGTGAGGACACCAACTCCACAAGAAAACAATGTGTTTGATGATGAGGAGTAAGTCCCTGATCTTTTCACATCTTCAATTTTGTTCTTATTCTATACTTTCGTCTTTATAATATTTGATTTTAATTAAATTAGATTTGATTTTACCCTAATAACAGTTGCTTGTTGACATACAGACTTTCTGTTAAAAACACACATGTAGTCTTACCCTGGTGGTTGTATGGTCATACCACATGGTTATGGCTTCACAAGCAACTTTATATCTCATCATAAATTACTGAATGTATATACTTGAAACTTCACACATTTGCATAATTTCCTTTCCTGATCTTAAAAATTCTGTACATTCTATTAAAAAAATAAAACAAACAAAAAACTCAGAATAAGTCCAGCACTGTTCACCTGGTAGGTCTTTGTTATAAGTACTTAATTTTCTCTAATGAGAGATGATCTCACATCTTTAAAATATATCACTATAAGTAAAATTAATCTTACTCGAAGGGGAGTTAATGTGGTTTTTCCTGCTCTTTCCTTGATCCTAGATCAACTCATTTTATAATGTTTGATTTGTATCTTGTATTAATGTGTAAATATATAATTTTTTTCTTTAAGGGCACCCCCTCAGTATAAGACAATTACATTAGAGAGAGGACCGGATGGACTTGGTTTCTCTATTGTTGGTGGTCATGGAAGTCCACATGGAGATTTACCCATATATGTCAAGAATGTATTCTCCAAAGGTGCTGCTTCAGAAAATGGGCTGCTTAAACGTGGTGACCAGATCCTCACCGTGAACGGCTCCAGTTTAGAAGGTCTTACGCACGAGGAAGCTGTAAACATTCTGAAAAATGCAAAAGGTTCTGTGATAATGAATGTATTATCCTAGCACTGCTACATTGTTATTCATTGTAAAGTTGGTAAATTTACAGATCACAATAATACTGGCATAAATTTAGTAAGAAAATCAACACAAATTTTGATCTTACCATAGTTATATCAATGTTGGACATAAACTTAAATATTTACAATACATGAACATTATAAAAATGATGTTTGTATAATAAGATTCAAATATGAAGCTGTATTATTATTCCATAATTGGTGTTCTGAATTACATGCACAAAACTGTGTTGTATTGTTAATATACAATAATTTTTTTTACAAGGAACTATTTAACTGATGAATAATTTCTCTAATCATATATGTGAAGGTCATTCATTGTTTATTAAACATCCAAGGGAGAGAACCAGTGTTTAATATCAGTAAGGAAGTCTTCAATATTCACTTTGTATTTATTTACTAGCTAGATTAATTAGTTATGTTTGAAATAAAAAGATTTGTTATGCATTTTATCTTTTCAAATTCCAGATTATCATTGTAAATAATTTATACTCATATATTGAAATGTATTGCTATACTGGTTAGGGTATATTATACAAAGACATTAGGAAATACACATTTTGTATTCTGTAATCAAGTTATAGTTTGTATAGGATTATGTTCATAGTTTGAGTTTTTCATTTTTAGGTATATTATTTTTTTTGTCATTTTTTTTTTATTATTTTTTTGTGGTTTTAATGTTAAATTTTTGCATATTTTTATATCAACTGAGGTTGTGACATTAGCAATACTTTTATGTGAAGAATTGAGCTTTAGTTGTAGGTTATAGGATTGCTTGTAGGAAACATCATGTTATCATGTCCGGCAGATCTGCTACAGTATTCTAACATGTACAAAACAACTGATAATATCAGTTGTCCGGGAAGTGAAGAAAATTTGTAAAACCTTTTGTTAATAATAACACTTATTTTTACAAAATTATGTAAAACAAAAAAAAATAATGAATGAAAAAAAAAAAAACAAAATTAAGGAGTTTGATGATACTGTTATAATCTGTTTATAGTTGTTTTTTTAGATCTTTATATTCAAACATACTATTTATACAACATAATTCTACATTGTGTAGTATAAATGAATTTCATTTATAAATGAAGACAACATTTGATGGCAGAAATTAAAAAAAAAGTTCCAACATGTGTTATCTGGTTTTAATGTACTACTAATATGAAATATTTCCAAGTTTGATATTATTTTTTGGACAAATGTAGTGATACAACATGAAAAGATTACAAACTTGGATATGTATTATATACAGATATATGTATAAAGAAGGTAGTCAGATCTACTTATCTAATCATATCATTTTAAAGTTTCTCTTACATGCTGAACATATTTACATTTTTGTACTTATAAATTTGTTGTCATCATCTGAACATATTTAATGCGAAACATTTCCTGCTTTACCATTGCACTAGACTTGTCATGTGACCAAACATTTTTTGGCTGAGTTTTTGGGTGATAAAATGTAACGGATAATGTTGTTATGATTGTAAGTCTGCAAATGTCTAAATTTGTTACAATGTATGTATATACATGTACATTTGTATGTATGTATATATATTATAAGAAGAAGAAAAATAATGCATAATTATAAGAATTTTTTATTAATAAAATTGGAATTGATTGTGATAATGTATGTTTTTATGGTTTTATTGGAAAATATAAGATAGTTTATGTTGGGATATGACATTTGACAAGTCTGTGTACTCATGGTAAAGTATGATTTATTCACCTTGCTGTTTTTTCTATGCATTCCATGTACAGGCATGTTTTATTTCAAATTATTATATTATGATTGTTGAAATAATTTTATGATAATTGGAAATTAATTAGAATAATAAATCTACATGTTTTGTTTCCATTTATATAAATGACAGGCTGTCATTTTATCATTTATTTCATTTCTGTTGACAATATTTTCATAGATAAACGCTAAGTTCTTTTTGCCATATGTTTTCCAGTTACTTTGTGTTTATACTAAGTCAGATATTTGGATATTTAAATAAATTGGAAATCTGCAGTTTTAATTGTAATTAAAGACCTGGAATAATAAAACAATAGATGAGGTAAAGGGAAGCTACTAACCTGATATATTTTCATCTACCAATCTGTTAACAAGCTTGATAGGAATTGGACTATGTGAGTACATGTATCTTTTCAAGAAACGAAGAATAATCAGAAATTATTGTGAATTATTGTAGTGGTTACCAGGGCTACCGTTAGTGTACATTGTAAGTTAAGGAGTAATATACTTGGCAATTTTGACTTGTGACATCCAAAATGTAATGCTTTGCCTTCTTTACCTATGTAATGTGACTTCCAATGTAGTCTATGACTTCCAAATTTTGGAACTAAATGGAAACCCTGGCTTGCATGTTATTCAAATTATGGAAAAATAAAGAGCTGTTATGTGGCATGTTCTTATACAGGTTAGTAACCAGTTATCCCTAAGTAAGATGTTTATATTTTTATATTAGGTGAATCTATTCCCTCTTTAATTAATCAGAATGTAGACTTTTAACAAATGAAGATGAAATGTTTGCAGGGATAGGTAGTAAAAAAGCATGAGAAAAATGTTATATAAAATTAAATATATATATTACAATATGTATTAATGTATGACAAATGAGAAAAAAACAAATGCTTAGTAAAACATTCCATATTAGGCTTATATAAATGAGTTGTTGGCATTGAAACACCTACATGTAGAAGAGTATTTCATTGTGTCTAGCATTGGAGGTAATATCCTGACTCAATACATATAATGAAAGGTCGTTTCAAATGTTGAATTTTAAAATATTAATAGTCAAATTCAATATTTAAACAGTGTAATTTTTTTTATTAAAATATCTGTTAATATTTTTTGGAATGCTTTTAATGTTAGTCATCCATAAATTGAAGTGAAATGACCTGGTTTACGTAAGTATGCAGTTTCAGGCAGTATGAATACTGATTAAAGCAGATACATATTTGTTCGTTTATTTACCTTAACTGTGACAAATCTGTAATAATGTCACTGGTTTCAGCACACTTCATCAGAAAAAGTTCTTTTGTCTAAAATAAATTCACGTTATGAAAATTTCCCCTTTTTATTTATGTTATTATTTCTGTCATATATTCAAATTTGTTACTACTGAATGTGAAGAGGATGTGAACCAGGTACTTTCAACATACTTTTTTTCTATGAGCCTAGATGTTAAAGTTAATTGTTGCACCTAGAATAGATGTTTTTTTCTCAGTTACAAGCTATGTTTAAAATTTATCATTATAAGTTCTGTTACAATGAACAAACTTATAGAAATATCTTTTTCCACATAAATTAATAAAAATTATTACTAGAAAACGATACTGTTGTTTTGTTTATTACTATGTAAAAAGATTTACCAAAGTTTCAAAGTTTATTTCAATCAGAACCGTAAGGCTTAAAAGCCCATGCATACATACAAAACTTTATGACAAACAGTTTATACATTTAACAAAAAAATCATTATAACAATATATCTTGTAAACATAATTTACTTTGGAGAAGGTTTTTATGCCCCCAAAGGGAGGCATAATATAATCCCACCAACTGTCCGTCCCCACTTCATTCGTGTCCGGACTGTAACGTCGTTATACAAAGAGGGATTTTGAAATAACTTGGCATAAATGTCGACCACATCAAGACGATTTGTCACGTCCAAGAGCCAGGTCCCTACCTCAAAGGTCAAGGCCACACTATCATTTTGAAATTTCACATTATCGCAATTAGAGTAAATAGGTACACATATTCGTGTCTGGACTGTAACTTTGTCATGCATCAAATATTTTAGAATAACTAGCCACATCAAATATACAAATACAAGACATTTATACAGCGCAAAAATGTATTAAATATTCGAATGCGCTGTACAGTATTAAGAATATATACACATATGCTTGATCAAGACACTTCCAAACCCAGTCTCGATGGCACAGCCATTGAAAAACTGTCCAAACCAGTATGTTTTAAGTTTGGCCTTAAACTGATTTTCATCGGTAATGTCCTTCAGATAATCTGGCAATGAATTCCACCATTTAGGTCCCACAATAGCCAAAGATCTATCAGCAAGTTTTGAATTTGTTGATGGTATATCAAACTGAGTGTGGCTAGATGATGAGGATCTCAGTCTTTTCCTGTTCTGACTGGCATTTAGTGAACAATTCGCGAAGATACAATGGAGCGGTGCCATTTGCAACACAGTCACAATAACTTTGTACATGATTCTTGCTCGAATTGGAAGCCAGCGGAGTGATTTAAGGATTTCAGCACTGGATTGATAGTATTTACATGTAGCTCCAGTGACAATTCCAGCAGCATGATTCTGCACCCGTTGTAATTTATCAAGTTGGTAGGCTGGAATATCCGCGAATAATCCATTGCAAAAGTCTAAATGTGAATGAATCAAACCGTGAACAAGGATTTCTGCAGATTTCTGAGTGAGATGTTTTCTGATTGCTTTCAAATTTCTTAACTGCATGTGCGCAATCTGACACTTCATTTGAATATGGATGTCAAAACTTAAAGTGCTGGTCATCTGTACTCCAAGGACCATCAAGACGATTTGTCTCGTCACTACCTCAAAGGTCAATACAAGGTCACACTATTATTTTGAAGTTTCACATTATCACAATTAGAATTAATAGGTACACACAATTGTGTCTGGGCTGTAACTTTGTCATGCATGGAAGGATTTTGAAATAACATGGCATAAATGTCTACAACATCAAGACGATGTGTCGCGTCTAATAATCACATCCCTACCTCAAAGGTCAAGGTCACAGTATTATTTTGAAGTTCACTTTAACACAGAGTTTATAGGTACACACATTCGTGTCCGGGCTGTAACTGTCATGCATTGAAGGATAGGCAGAAATGTCTACCACACCAAGACGACATGGCGCGACAAAGACCCATGTCCCTACCTTCAAGGTCACACTTATAGTTTGAGGGTACTCATTCTCTCGAAAAAGAGTTTGAAGATACACATTCATGTCCGGACTGTAACTTTGTCATGCATGGAAGGATCTTAAAATAACTTAGCACAAATGTCTACCACATCAAGACATTGTGTCGCAGCTAAGGCTCCTGTCCGTGTGTCCCCACTTACACAACAATCATGTCCAGACTGTAACTTTGTCATGCATTGAGGGATTTTGAAATAATTTGGCACAAATCTCTATCTCTTAACAACATTTTGTCCCGTCCAGGAACCACGTCCTTTCTTCAAAGGTCAAGGTCACACTTATATTTTGAAGGTTCATGCTTTCACAATTAGAGATTACATGTACAATAATACAAAGAACAATATTCAGCAATTAGTTACTTTCATTCTCTTTTCTTTTTATAATACCTGCACGCAAGAAACCTTTAGGGGGGCATTAGTCACTTGGGTGATAGCTCTTTTTTCAACCTTATTCTCCCTTACCAGTTGTGACATATTTCCAACTAAATTTCAGGTTACCTCATTCCAGTTTTAAAGCCAACCTTTCAACGAAACGAAACATAAAGGTGACTGACTGGAGTGAACATAATATTAAGATAAAATGCATGACCAATGTACTATTTCTGAGTGATAAAGACTTTTCATCTAAATATGAAAGACACCTTAACACAATACACATTAATTATATCCATTATATAGATACAGCACGATAAAGTGACAATGCATTCTTTAAATTAAAACTTTACATGATTAACAATCTAGATAAATATTTGTAAAAACATACGTATACATTTGACAATTACCATATAATATTTTGTTACGTATCGGATAATTGTGACATTTATATAGTTTTTTTATGATACTGCACGTTGTAACGTCGCTTTTCATTGGGTAATCGTTTATATAATTTTAGATAGCGGCTCGGGTTATATTTACAAATAGCCGTTTATATAGGGCCATATAACCTGTTAACAATCTTTATAACTAATAATATACACGTATATCTTTACAATTAAATCATCGTTGTAATGAAGTTTTGTTAATATAATGCTTTATACAAGAAGAGTTATACCATTAAAAATGTTATTTTGGAATAAATGTTACTATAAGCTAGATTTATATTTCTTTATGTCGTTTTGTCTTCTTACTTCTGTAACGTATGTCATTTTACATCTGTAATACTATTAAGAAGATTGCACGGATTTTTCGTGAGGCGGGAATCTTCTATATATGTATTACACATGTGTAGAATGTTTTTCATTCGACGGGCGTTACTGAAAGGGTAAAGTTGTTTCCTAGTTCGCTTAAAATATGTCTGACGAAGAAGCACATAGTGAACATGAAAATACAAGAGGAGAAAGCGAGTTAGAAAGCTTTAAACAGGCAGAGAAGTATTTTTTCTAGATGAACTAGAGAAAAGGTTCAACAGATTTTCAGCTAAGTGTTCATCTCCTGATTTAGGGTTCAAATTCAAAAGTGAAGGAAACAAGGTACAATTTGACTTTAATTCAGATAGAATTGAGGGATTTTCACGCATTCGAGATCTTTGCACGATCAGCGTTCAAGCTACAAAAAGTACTATGGACAAAGAAATTGATTCTTTGAAACAGAGAAATAAAATACTCAAAATCGCAGATAAACATGGATAGAACACAGTTCGTGAGTACACTGACAGTCCTCTTGCTAATGATTCTGAAGACGCAGCAAATCTGCGAGCAGCTATCTCCCGCGCCATGCGGAGCAGACGATATCAGCCCTACCAGCGTTCCAGCACTACTTCCGCCGCACCACAACAAAAGACACAGGGCCTTTTTGGAGGTTTCAGGGAGACAATGAAACAAATATGTCATAAAGGTTTGGACCAGGCCAGCCTCTGCCAGGGAGATTCGGTGTCGGCCCATGTTTCGCATGCCATTTGTACGGACACTTCGCCAAACAGTGCCCTTACGTTCAGAGAAACACAGTCACGCTGGCTACACGAGAAGACATAAGAAAACCCAAAGTTACAGACATCCAAATCAACGACATCGGCAGCGGAAATTCAAAAAGTTGAGTACGATTTTTATATAAAAGGTGACAATAAATCAGAAATCTTTCAAAGTGAGAAATAGTCTCATTAAATGTATAGATTTTTGGCGAAATTATCTTTTATCGATAATGTTATAGTCCAAGGATATAAGATTCCTTTTGATTCAGAACCTTCGAGCATATTTTTGAAAAACAATCACTCATCTTTTAAACATTCATCCTTTGTGTTAAAATCTATCAAAGAATTACTAGATTTAGGATGTATAAAGGAGATTTCGGAGAAACCTTTTTGTACAAATCCTTTGACTGTATCCGTCAATTCTTCGGAAAAGAACGTTTAATTCTTGATTTGAGGCACGTTAATAAGTTCATTCATAAATTTAAAGTAAAATTTGAAGACTTTAACGAAGCTTTAGAATTTTGTCAGCCAGGAAATTTTATGTTTAAATTTTATTCGCGTAGCGGTTATTATCACGTGAATATTCACGAAGATTTTCAAATCTTTTTGGGGTTTAGCTGGAAAGTAGATGGAAAACAAAAGTTTTTTGTCTACACTGTTATGGCTTTTGGTCTGTCCAGCGCGCCATACATTTTTACCAAACTCTTACGACCACTTGTAAAATATTGGAGGTCTTTAGGCATACAGATGATAGTTTATTTGGATGATGGGTGGGGTACTGAAAGTCCATCTACATACGCACAAACTAGTCTTAAAGTTAGGGGTGATTTGATTAAGGCTGGTTTCATTATCGACGAAGAAAGAAAGGTATTTGGGTGCCTTGTCCTGTTTTAGAATGGTTGGGATTTCTTTGGAACCTCGAGGAAGGTTACATTAAAACTCCTATGCGTAAAAGACAAATATTAGTTAATTTGCTCAGTCAAACGTTGTCGGGTAACTATAATTCTACACCTAGGAGTTTGGCTAAAACTGTGGGTAAAGTCGTTTCCATGACTTTTAGTGTAGGAAATATTTGCAATATTATGACTAGACATTGTCAATGTCTAATAGCTAGTTCGATAGGCTGGGACAGATCTATTCAATTAAATCCGAAAACCTTATATTGACCTTCAATTTCTTAATTCACATTCCGCCAGGTCCTTAAGGCCTTTTAATCGCACTCCGGAACGCATTTTATTTGTGGACGCTAGCAATGTAGCTAGCGTCGGGGTTATGTTGAGTTCAGAGAATAAAATCGCTCACTGTATGTTTACTGAAGAAGAGTGCCTCACTAGCTCCACTTATAGGGAACTTATTCGATCAGTAACGCACCGCATTCTGTAAACGTCAAACGTCTTGTTGTTCTTTTATTAAGAAATGCTTTATTTTCGGACGGGCGTAGCGAGGTAGAAAATATTTGCCGTGAGAATGTGTTATTCATATGAATTGGATCGTAAGAACTGATGTCACCGGCCTCTCAGCTTCCGTATAAGGTTTGTAGGTCTAGGTTATGACAAAACTATTTCATAAAGTTTATAATTGGGGTTTATTATAATTACTTTATCAATAAGTATGATAAACAAACGAAACAAATCTGAAAATATAAAGAAAATAACATTATACAAACATAGCATATAGAATTATCATTTGACAGATGACAGCTGTCAAAAATGTAAACAAACGAAACAATTAATATACATGTAGGTGTGATGGCGCGTTACAGACCGCTAACAAAACACAAAATTGATTTCGTTAATACTATTACATTATGTAATTATCAAACTTAAGATTTACAGTATATTTAGAAATATGTTTATAAAATACAAAAATCTAATTTACCTGAATAAATATTTAATATATCCAGAGATATTTATAAACAGATCAAAGGTTAGTTCGAAGTAGATACTATTGAAAATATAGGGAAAAACTACGGAGTACAAGTCGGGTCATGATTTACAAATAAACAAAAACAACGGAATACATTTATGATATTTTTACCCTACGACATACTCCCCCTGCTTCGGAAATGGCGTCCCGACATTTAATACGCGAAATGAATTATAGCATTTTGCATTAATAAAAACAACGAATAGATTAAAAAAATATATATAATACAATACGAGGAAATATCTATCATATATATATATATATATATATATATATATAGTATATTCTCATCAGATAATAAGTGAGTATTTGTGAATAGTGTTAAATGTTTGAGGAGAAATGTATATGAGGGCTTAAATTATGTAATAGTTGTAATGTTGTGTAAAACAACATGACATAATCTTTGCCAAGTTTCCTCTTGCATGTGTATTCACATAATCATCATGTTTACAATTCTCAATATGAATGTCAATATTCTTCTACAATCTAACATAAATTTTCATCTATCATTGTCACACAATTTATGTCACGAAAAACTCTCATTCTATTTGAGATGTAATTATTTACACTATGTACATTTGTGGTCCAATATCCAGTCACCTGACCGTTGCCATCTTGGGGTTATTCTAGTTCTAATTGGTCGGCCTTCAAAAGCTTTAGCATCAGCTGATGTTAAACATTTATTTTCATTATTTGATTTGCATCTTCTGGCCGGAATAATATATTTGTCACTTGTATTTTCTAGAACGTTATCAGGACGAGAATCTTTTCTGGTTCTTGAGTTTTCTTTTCCTTGTTGATTTTCAAGGTAAGTATCTTTTTCAAAAGATGCAGTTGTATCAAATTTCATTTCAGGTTCAAGGTAAGTTATATGTTTTTCTATTTCAGGATCTTCGTTAGAGTGTTTTGTTTCAATGTAAGTGTCTTTAACCTTTTTACTTAATGGTAAAAGTAGATTTCTATGTAATGTACGTATCTTTTTAGATCTTGAACTATCTTTGCGGACAACGAAAACTGGTATGTCTTGATTTGGCTGTTCTTCTACTATGTAAGGGGTATCTTCCCATTTGTCAGCTAATTTATGTTTTCCACGAAATGTTACATTTCGAACTAAAACTAGGTCACCTTTATTTATTGTAGCAGCTTTTGCTCTGATATCATATCTTGTTTTATATTTCTCAGCTGAATGTTTTGCATTGTCTCCGGCTTTTTTATAAGCAATATATAGACGTACTTTGAGTTTTCTAACGTATTCAGTTTGTATGTTGTTATTGTTTTCATCTGTTGGTAATCCTAAAAATGCATCTATTGCTAATTTTGGATGTCTACCAAACATTAAAAAGTATGGGGAATATCCAGTGCAGGTATGAATGGTGACATTGTATGCATGTACAAGTGGGGCGACATGTGATTTTCAGTCTGATTTTTCATAATTTTCCAGGGTTCCTAGCATTTTTAGTAATGTTGAATTAAAACGTTCTACTTTTCCATTGCCGATTGGGTGGTACGGTGTGGTATGACTTTTTTCAATACCTGCTAATTGACAAAGATCTTTAATAAGTGAAGATTCGAAGTTTGCGCCCTGGTCACTGTGTATTCTTGATGGGAAGCCATAATGTACAATAAATTGGTCAAAAAGAACTTTAGCGGTTGTTTTAGCTGTTTGATTTTTAGTTGGATATGCTTGAGAATATCTAGTAAAATGGTCCGTAACGACTAAAATGTTTTCAAATCCACCTTTTGATTTTTCTAGACTGAGGAAGTCAACACAAAGAATTTCCATTGGAGTTGTAGAATTTATAGTAACTAATGAAGCTGTTACGGGTAATGTTTTTCTTCTAATACATCGTGGACATAGAGGATATTGAATGAGTGTAAGTTCAATACTGAATTTATTGCACGAGTTGAATAAAATTATATTATGCGAGCTTCTGGCGAGCATAATATTATTTTATTCAACGAGTGCAATAAATTCAGTAATGAACTTTCACGAATTTAATATTCTATTTATCACATTCCCAAAATAAAGACCGTTTAAAGTGAAATAAGAGTCATTTTTTATTGACGCGCCTATAGTATAACGCTAACATTTAGCGCGTCTTTACACTGTTTATATAACGCTCATGACGTCAGGTCAAAATATATGCACGGCCGTGCAATACCATTTTTACGGAGTCGCAAAATCGGCACGGGTGTGTGATAAATTGTTTTACTTTTTCTTCTATCCATGTATCCATGCCTGGCCAATAAAATCGTTGTCTGAAAAGTGATATTGTTCGATCTCTGCCCTGGTGACCTAAGTCGTCATGAAGTGTTTGAAATATATCTTCTCGGATGTTTGCTGGTAACAGTAATTGAAGGTAGGTATCATTTCCGTACGTTCCTTGACGATATACAACATTGTCTCTGAGTACTAATTTTTCCCAGTCACGTAAGTATTTCAAAACACCAGAATTCATTGACGAGGTTCGCTTAGCGGAAGGCCTTGTTCCTTCTTTTAGGTGTTGATATACTTGTGATATGATGTTGTCGTCATTTTGTGATTTTCTCCAGTCTTTAGAACAAAGAGATTCGGACTCAACTAAATCTTCCGGAGGAAGTTCTGTAGATGAGGATTCAACTTCAGGTAAGTTTTCAGGGGTAAGTATGCTAAAGACGAAAGGAGCTTGTTTGGTGTTGACATTTGCAGAAAAGGTAAGTGCGTTTATAGTTTCTTTATCTATTGTAGAATTGTATTCTTCAGTATTGCTTTGGTATTGTCTAGATAAACCATCTGCATCTGCATTTTGTTTTCCACTTCTGTATTTAATTGTGTAATCATATCCTGATAATGCAGCCAGCCAACGGTGTCCTGTAGCGTCTAGTTTTGCTGTAGTCTGAACGTAAGTAAGAGGGTTGTTGTCAGTAAGAACTTCGAATTTATTGCCATAAAGGTAGTCGTTGAATTTTTCAGAAACAGCCCATTTTAGCGCCAAAAATTCTAGTTTATGTGCTGGATAGTGTTTTTCAGATGGTTTGAGGCTTCTACTAGCGTAGGCTATAACTCTATCTATTCCACCTTGTCTTTGATATAGTACAGAGCCGAGTCCTGTGGATGAGGCATCTGTGTGAACAATAAACGGAAGTTGATAGTTTGCATAAGCTAGCACTGGTGGATTCGTTAATTTGGAAATAATTGTATCAAACGCTTTCTGTTGTTCTTCTTTCCATGTAAAAGGTACTCTTTTCTTTGATGATTTTTGTTTCTTGTTGGTTGAATAACCAATTAAAAGATCATTTAAAGGTCGAACAACTGAAGCATATCCTTTAATAAATCTCCTGTAGTAGCCAGTAAATCCAAGGAATTGTCTGACTTCTTTTGTAGTTTTAGGTACTGGCCATGATTTAACAGCTTCTATCTTTTCAGGATCTGCATGTATTCCTTCCTCTGAAACGACATGTCCAAGGTAAGTAACAGATGATTTGAAGAACTCGCATTTACTTGGTTTTAATTTCAGATTATTCTGCGCAAGACGACTGAAAACAGCTTCGAGACGTTCTATATGTTCTTGAAAATTTGTTGAAAAAATGATGATGTCGTCCAGATAAATCAAACAGTCTCGTAAGTTGAGGTCGCCCATACATCTCTCCATGAGTCTTTGAAAAGTTGCCGGTGCATTTGTTAGTCCAAAAGGCATCCGGTTACATTCGTAAAATCCTAGTGATGCTACTGAAAAGGCTGTCTTTGGTTTGTCTTCTTCTTTTACAGAAACTTGCCAGTAACCTGCTTTAAGGTCGAGTTTTGAAAAGTATTTGGATCCGGAGAGAAGATGAAGAGTATTTTCTATTCTGGGGATAGCATAGGCATCTTTGATTGTACGTTCATTTAATTTACGGTAATCCACACAGAAACGAATTGTACCATCTTTCTTTCTAACGATAACTACGTTGGATGAATAAGGACTGTTTGATGGTCTGATTGCGCCACACTCAATCATTTCCTTTAGATGTTCACGGACTTCTTCAAGTAGAGCAGGTGGTATATTTCTATGAGGTTGTTTGAATGGTTTCTCGTCTGATAAATGAATTTCATGTTCTATAAGATTAGTATTTCCTAAATCTGTTCGACCTTTTGAAAAAACATGCTGCCATTTTGAAAACATTTTGTACACTGTACTCTTTTCTTCTTCTGATAATTTAGTGTCTTCTAGTTTCACTCCAAATGTCTCCTTATTATCATCTTCATTGACAACGTGTCTATTAATCCTTTGGCTGTTTTTCCCTCTATATTGATATCTCCAACATTGTTGTTCCCAACTATCCTATCATATAATGTCGTTTTCTTGGGGCTTTTGTCATCTACCATGCCTCCTATCTGCCCCCCGACAGAGACGCCTTCGAGTTTAAATCCATTCTCTTTTCATTTGTATTACTCTCTGTTTTTCTTTGTGTTTCTTCTTTTTCTCTGTAATATTGTGTATCTGTCCTTTCACGATCTCTGTCTCTCCATTCTCTTCCTTTATTATCAGTGTCTCTTTGTCTCTGTTCTTGTATGTTTTTCTTATCATCCTGTCTATCATATCTGTAGTCTCTCGTATATCTATATTCTCTTCTGTCATTATCTCCACTATAACGTGACTGTCTTTCATTTGTATTATATATGTCTCTTTCATGGTATTGTCTTCTGTCTCTATCAAATCTGTATCTATTCTCATATTTATCTCTTCTCTCTCGGTAATCTCTATATTCAGCTTCTCCTTCATCTCTGTTGTACTCCTTGTAAATTCTGTTATCATTTCTTCTATCACTCTGATCATATCTCCTCCTATTTCTGTAGTCATAATTGTCTCTATATGTATCTCTTCTATCTATTCTATATTCTCTATTCGATCTATATCCTTGTCTCTCTCCATCATATCTTCTCCTCCCTCTATCGGTTCTTTGCATGTCATTATACTTATTCTTCTCTTTGTAATCGTCTTCTCTCCTCTTCTTCATTTCATCTTCTAACTGAGTCATTCTTTCAGCCAAATCTTTCAAAATGTTTCCTCCGGCTACTGTATCTATCTGTCTATCTACCACTCGTTCTTTCCCTTCTATGCTGTATTCTTCACCTAACATGTCGTATTCTTCCAATATCACTTTCTTTCTTAATTCTTCAAATGACTTCGCAGTCTCAAAGTACATTCTGGTAGCATTCTTCAACTGTTCACTCTTTAACTGTCTCCAAAATCTTGTCTTTAACATTTCATCTTTTTGACTCTCGCTTACATGTCCTTTCTCAATAGCTTTCTGTACAATAGTTTCTAATCTTATTCCCCATTCTGTTATTCCTTCCTCGCTTCTTTGTTTTGCCATATAAAGTTCAGACAGACATATCTTTTAAAATATTCATTTGACAGTGGTTCTAGGGCAAGTGTGACTTCTATATTTCACAATTGTATAAATACAAAAACAGAGAAGCTTAAAACTAATTCTAACTTAAATCAACGGTACTTCCACATAATGTCCGAATTCATAATAGTTACTTCTTTCAGAAATATAATTTATTTGGCCTCAGGAAAAAATAAATTCATTACCGTTACGCAAATAAAAATGACGTATTAGAGTACAGCTATATTTTCATGGCTGAATCAATTAATACAATTTAGTTTTAGGTACACATGCAATAAGTACCCCTTGTTATCTTTGTTTTTAAGAAAATTTTCAAAAATGTTAGAATTTATAGTCATTCATGTCAATTTTACTATTTACTGGCACATTTGCTTATGCTTTTTATGCACTTGACTTTCACGTTGTTATTTCACATTAAAGTGTTTGCAAAGACATTTCGGTATATGTAATTTCGAGGGAATTACGGCAAAAAAGATTAAATAGTGTAACGGTAGTTACAATAAGTAACGGTTGTGAAACGACTGTAACGGTAATTACATAAGAAATTGTTACATAAGGAAACTATTGTCATTAATTTATTAAAACTGAACTCATAACATTATCAGTGTAAACAAATAGCAGTGTTGTTTTATTTTTCTGTTGATATAAGGTTTAAAACAATGCATGCAATACATACTTCGGTATTTTTTCTAATATTTTTCAGTAAAAGCTACTTAGTTATACAGCATTTGATTTTCTCCGTCATAAAGATATTTCAAGTTTTTGAATAAACTGTTTCTATAACACGTTTTTATGTGGTAAACTTAACAACAACTGTCACGCTAAATATCTGCTTTTATGCCCCCGCCATATAATGGCTGACCCTGTTCCGCCATTCCGTCCTTCGTCATTTTGTCATTCTGTCATTCCGTCGTTCATTATCTTAGTAACCGTTGCACACATTCAACTCAAATCTGACATATGGATACTTCAAAGGAATGAGTGGGTCAAGTTCGAATTTTGTCATGGTTCGATGATTTTCGGCAGAGTTATGCCCCTTTCACTTTGAAAATGATGTGAAATTTTCAGTTCCGTTCATTAACTCCCAAAAGGTATTACACATTCAACTCAAATTTGGCATATGGATTCGTCAAAGGAATGCGCAGATCAAGTTCAAATTTGGTCATGGTGCGATGGTTTTTGGCAGAGTTATGCCCCTTTCACTTTGAAAATAATATGAAATTTTCAATTTCTGTTCATTATCTCTCCAACAGTTGTACATATTCAACTCAAATTTAAGATATGAATATGTCAAAGGTATGCGCAGGTCAAGTGCAAAGTTGGTCATGTTTCAATGATTTTTGGCAGAGTTATGCCCATTTCGTTTTGAAAATAATATGGAATTTTTAGTTTCCGTTTATTATCTCCCCAACAGTTGTACATATTCAACTCAAATTTAATATATTAATATATAGATATGTCAAAGGGATGCGCAGTTCAAGTGTGAATTTAGTCATGGTTCAATAATTTTTGACAGAGTTATGTCCCTTTCACTTTGAAAATAATGAAATTTTCGGTTTCCATTCATTTTCTCCCCAACTGTATTACACATTCAACTCAAATTCCATTTGGTCATGGTTTGATGATTTTTTGCAGGGTAATACTCTTTAACTTTGAAAAAATTGGAAATTTTCAGTTTCCGTTCATTATCTCCCCAACAGTTGTACATAATCATGTCAAATTTAATATATGGATATGTCATAAGAATACACTTGTCAAGTTCGAATTTGGTCATGGTTTGATGATAGCTTACAGAGTTATCCCTCTTGAACTTTGAAAAAAATCAGAATTTTTTAGTTTCTGTTCATTATCCCCCAAATGGTTGTACATATTTAACTTTAAGTTGTCATATAGATACATCTTAGGAATAAGCAGTTCAAGTTTGAATTTGGTCATGGTTCAATGATTTTGGACAAAGTTATCTGTCTTGAATGTTGGAAAAAATTTGAATTTTTAGTTTCAGCACTTATACTTTTGTGGAAGTGTATGTAGTCATTATTTTGGCCACAAATATGCAATTTACAAAAGGTTAACACTGAATAGTTTCAGTGCCTAGAATTTTGTATAAAATGGTTTGTGTTAACATTGAATGGTTAAAAGGGCTTTGAACTTTAAATGAAAAAAAAAATAGTTTGTGCAAACAAATTTGGAACATCTGAAATTTTGGCTGCATGCGGGGGCATCCGTGGCGTGACGACACTTTTCTAGTTTCTTCTTCTATTTGCACTAAATAACATTAACAAGAAGTGTTATATTAACAAACAATTAAATAAAGAAACGTATAACTATAACCATGCTTTAAACTCCTCATTTTGCTCGTCAATGTCTAGCTTTTTAACAATCAGATTCAACAATTCTTGTGATATTTGCCGATGGCGTTTTGTCACAAGCTCGGGTTACTCATCTAAGAGTGTTATTACACATTTCTTTGAATACCATAACCGATCTTCCACCAAAGGTTGGTCCAATACGGCATATCAACTTAACTTCCACCTTGTCACCATCATCAGCGTCCATCATCATGCCAGGATATGGCACTACTGTATTCTACTGAAACAAGGCCATCCGTTTCCTAAATATAGATATATAAATATTTTTATAATTCGAACCATTGGTCATTGGTATGAATTTGTCAATTGATAAACTTTAATACATAGAGGATATTGAATGAGTGTAAGTTTAATACCGAATTTATTGAACGAGTTGAATAAATTATATGGCGTGATATGCATGTTCCATGTTCCATGTTTCAATTTACAAATTTATAAACAGCCAAGCAAAAGCTTTTAAACACACACACACACGCGCGCGCGCACGCACCACCACCATCATCATCATCATCATCGACATTATATTGTTAACAATTATTCTATCATCAAGATTTTTTGGAAGTATTCTTTTCCAAACCTGAAAAATAATTAGACGACAAACATACATGCATAGCTTTATGCACGATCGTTGCACATTAAGCTGTATGCCAAGTCTACCAAACACACATTTCCTGTATGATTCAGACAGCGAGACAGACGAGATATGTATAACATCGATTTTATAACTTCTGCAAACACTGGAAAGCATGAAATAAGTTAATTTAATCTAATTTTTCTTTGGTAAACTTTATATAACGTCATTATGACGTCTTGACGTCACGATGCAATCAACTTCCTTAACAACGTCAGTATTGTTATAATTAAGTTTTTCTAAAAAGTAGGGGACAGTTTGACTTCAGGATTAAAAATAGGACAATCTTTCAGGGGAATAGCAAGGGAGCGTTTAAACGTCGCCTAACATTTGAGTTTTAAGAAGAAATAAAAATTATTTTACGTTGGATAACAATTTATACGTAGACCCTAAACATGATAATACAGTTAAAGCCATCTGAAATCTTTCATTCACAAGATAGTATAAGTTGCCGTTTTTCGAAAACAAATACACTAATTGGTGAAACCTTGGACGATCTGTATGAAGACAGGTAAATACATTTGGTCATCAGTTTGGGTAACTTATAGTCTTCGAATAACTTGCAGCTAATCGTTGTGGGTTCGAATCCCGGGTACTTAATATAAGCCGTTTTGAAAAAAACAATCATATTTCAACGTCTATAATAATACATTATTATAGACGTTGAAATATGATTTTTTTTTCAAAACGGCTTATATTAAGTCTTTTTGATATATATGATCAGTACATGAGCTTGGATTGACAAACATACATTCTATTTGGATTTTAAAGGCGTTTTAAGCTCCACACCCCAAGTGTCTACTCATAATACTTGTAATAAAAATATCATATAAATACTACATATTATTAGATTACATGAATATAAATACTACATATCCTGAAACTCTGGTTTATTTTAGGTTGTCTGTGTCAGATATAAAACGTATATCTGTAGCTCCAGTGAATGGCAAATGGTTTTCATTGGACAACCGCCGACTTTGGGTATTTCGTCAACTAGAGAAAATAGGTAAATGTCGTTACGTTACCGTTAATGTTAAAAAGAAAATTGATGCCGCCAGACTTACAACAAAATGTGGTGGGAAAGAAGTATATGTTAGGGGATCTCCGGGTGGACACTGCTATGGATATTTAGTAAACAATCGGCATTCGGTCGGCGCTGAACAACCAACCAGGAGATCTACAGCTGATTGGCCTTATAGTGATGAAGCTGATGAAATTGAGGGTATATTGTGCTCAGGTATTATACTCCGTCCGTTCGGCCCGAGTCTTCGTCGTACCAGTCCTTTACACCATACGCTGTACCGGAACCAACATCAACAATTGGTGAAAGCTTATGCAGGGTGGTTAAGATAGGTCTTTCGCTAGCAGCAATGTATCTGTCATGGGAATCAATATAATTATAACAAAAGCTCTCTGAATATTCTTTTGTTAAAACATTAAGAATGTTTTACAATTTTTTACAAATACATGTACCTGTTCTATATATAATCTATTCATGTCATGTTTTATTTTGTAAGTGTTTCTATGTTGTTTCATGTACATGTGTTACTACATATATATCATATTTATCATCACAAGTATTTTAATTTTTAACAGTAAATGATTTTACCTTGGCTGTATAAATGAATTATCAATATCACAGATGGATTTTGTTTCAGTATCGCACTTGATTGATTTCATTCTGTTTATTATAAAATCAAATGCGTTTTCTAACCTGACTTGTTATAAGAAATAATATAAATTAACTAAATTAAATTTTATATTATGAACTCAACTGTAATTGCCATATATAATTTATCTATAGTCAGATTATTTTTAAAACTTTCCTAATTTTTTTACATATGTATAGTATTTTATTTACATTGGAAAAAACACGTAACAACTTAAGTGGCGTTAAATGGGGATCTCCCTTTTTCATAGAAGGTGGGTGAAATCATGAAAGTATCTTACATTCATATATCATCGCAGCCTTGATTTCTTCTAAAAAGAGTTTAAAATGTATAAGCTTATGTCGTATTTATAACCATTATTAACGTTTTAGAAATAAGTTTATTCTCTTTTTTTAACAAGAATGTTTACCATTATGTGAAACAGTGTGCTTTTATATTTTGAACACTCCTATTAAGTTTTGATAAGGGGAAGCTTTGAATACTAAAACCTTCGAACTATGGTAATGTAAAAAGTATTTTTAGAATAGAAAATTAGATGTTTCGATACGCTTGCGTTCCACCTTAAATTTAAAATAGATATATTACAAAATTAAATTATAGATTTATCGCGCGACAAGCCGAAACACCTAGACCATATTATCATGGTCTGGTAATATTGACATGAGTCTTATAAAAGTGACATTATATGTCATCCAATGGTACAATGTATATATAGAGCGAACAATAAGTTAATGTTTTGCCATAATTATTGTATATAACGAGATACTGTAAATGTATAAGTTAACGAAATAAACTATTTCTTCTTCTTCTTCTAATTCCTTTCAATTGGATAATTTGTTTCGCATGAACAATAAATAAGTCATGTTGACCAAGGAAACTTTTTTTTTTATTTTAGCAGATCTATATTTAATACTAAACGTTTTCAGATATCAGCTGATGGTCAATCACCATCATAACAGTCAATCTTTTGAAATATGTAGTCGTGTGAGCTCAACATGACAATGAAAAAATGAACAAAAGGTCACTTTAATATATTTATATTCAGGAAGACTTTCGCCACCGACCGTGAAATATCATGAGTCAAACACTATATTCTTATTAAAGCTATAATTCTTGCTCCATCTTTTCGAAGAAAAAAAGAGCAATTGCTACAGTCATGTTGCCAGCCCCCTACCTGTTACCGTCCAAAATTATCGTATTTTTTTAGCTCACCAGAACCGAATATTCAGTGTGAGCTATAAGTACCAAAGGGGATGCCCCGGCGTCAGTCGTCATTTCTTCTATTAAACTGCAGATTTACATCAACTTTAATCTGTACTATCCTTGTAACAGGCAAACTTAGATTTGCTCATATCATTTAAATTTTAGGCGTCAACAGAGCTTAAAATAGAAAAACCTGTAAACGTCTTCTACTATAGTAAATGTTGAATGATTGAGATGCTCACAAAACTTTGTCTGTAGCATATTTAGGTAGTTTTTTTATATCAAATTTGCTCATATTAATTTGATTGGTCTCTTTTAGGGGCTGCTAAAGCTAAAAATAGAAAAACCTTTAAACATCTTCTACTGCACTTATTGATTGATGATGAGCAAACTTTTGTCTGTAGCATTCTTAGGTAGTCTTTTATCAATTTTGCTCATATTAATTTGATTGGCCCCTTTAAGGTGACGATAAAGCTGAGTATAGTATAACGTTTAGAACTAATTGATGGATGTTCATCAAACTTTGTCTGTAGCTTTCTTAGGTAGTCTTTTATGTATTGTTTTTTATTTGCCTCTTTTAGGGGTTGCTAATGCTAAAAATAGAAAAACCTTTAAACTTCTTCTTCTACAGAACTGATTAATGGATGATCGCCAAACTTTGTCTGTAGCATTCATAGGTAGTCTTTTATCAAATTTGTTCATATTAATTTGATTTGCTTCTTTTGTGATCACCAAACTTTTGTCTGTAGCATTCTTAGGTAGTCTTTTATCAAATTTGCTCATATTAATTTGATTGGCCTCTTTTAGGGGTTGCTAATGCTAAAAATAGAAAAAAAACCTTTAAACTTCTTCTTCTACAGAACTGATTAATGGATGATCGCCAAACTTTGTCTGTAGCATTCTTAGGTAGTCTTTTATCAAATTTGCTCATATTAATTTGATTGGCCCCTTTAAGGTAACGATAAAGCTGAGTATAGTAAAACGTTTAGGACCAATTGATGGATGTTCATCAAACTTTGTCTGTAGCTTTCTTAGGTAGTCTTTTATGTATTTTTTTAAATCAAATTTACTCATATTAATTTGATTTGCCTCTTTTAGGGGTTGCTAATGCTAAAAATAGAAAAAACCTTTAAACTTCTTCTTCTACAGAACTGATTAATGGATGATCGCCAAACTTTGTCTGTAGCACTCTTAGGTAGTCTTTTATCAAATGTGTTCATATTAATTTGATTTGCCTCTTTTAGGGGTTGCTAAAGCTAAAAATAGAAAATCCTTTAAACCTCTTCTACTGAACATATTGATGGATGATCGCCAAACTTTGTCTGTAGCATTTTTAGGAAGTATGTTATCAAATTTGCCCATATTAATTTGATTGGCCTCTTTTAGGGGTTGCTACAGCTTCTACTGAACTAATTGCTTGACAGTGACTTAAAACCAAACCAGAATAATTGCAGCAATAACTTTGTGAAGGATTAACGATAAATAGATGTCTGAAGAGGATTTTGCATAAAAAAGAATTGCTGTCTTGTCAATCGTTATATTCTTTCAACAGAGTCATCCCCAGGTAATTGATTGGATAAATGTTGAGGTTGTTGAAAACATTCACCACCTCTACTATCTATGACCATTGCGACAAAAGATTATATCTAAGACATGGTATTATAAAGGAAAAGCTGGGTCATGATGCTATTCAGGTTTTTAAATGTCATATTGTTTTGAAAGTAAGAGGTAAAAATATTACTCTTACTTGTGTATCAAACGTAAGTTCGTTTTTTTGGTTTAAAAAAGTAATGTACATTGTATTGGACTGTAGTATTTATATAAATACATATTTTACTTAAAAAATGACTACAGTTGGTTGAATAATTTTACATGTACAAAATATGATTTCTTCATTGGAGCACATCTTGCAGTTTCCTTACCTGTTCTATACTTTCCTATTCCAATAAATTGCACATGTTAGTGTTAAAATACTTTTCTCGTCAACTTTATTTATATACATTATGGCCCAGTTGTTCAAAACTTTTGTTAAATATTTAATAATGAGATCATTGTTAAATTAACAAAAGATTTGAACAACTGGGCATATGTTTAAATACATTAATAACATATTGCTGTAAAGCACTATTGTCCTGGAGATTTCTACTACACAGTGCTTGTAAATAATTGTGTCGACTTTTCTACTACTCACGGTTTTCCCCTTAATTGAAATGTATAATTATTATATAAAAAGAATTTAAAAAATTCAGACTGCTTACTTTGTCATCGGCAGTGTGCTTGGGAAAGTATGGTCAAAAACTGAACCGTCCGGTACCGAGTTAAAATGAATAAAAAACTTATTTAAACATATAACTCTTAAGATATGAACGTGACTCGGACCAGCGATCGTTTTGTTTAAAAATACCTGCCTTAATTAATGGATACAGAACAGTTTTTCTTCAAAAGTGTCTTCTTACAGACGTAAGACGACAATTTGATAGGATAAACAACAAATTGTCCGAGGCGAAGCCGAGGATAAATTGTTGTTTGTTCTAGCGAACTGTCTTCTTTACGTCTGTAAGAAGACAAAATTTGAAGAAAATACGAGTGACTGTTTTTGACTTATACGACGTTTAAGTGTAAAAACAGATGAATTAATAAACGCATTTTATTACAAATAGATCTAATTGAATGTATGTTCACGTTGAAAATATAAAACTATAGAAAATTTTGCATGGCCTTTAAGCTTTGGGCAGTGGAAGGTGTAGGTAAATTGTATTCGCACGGAATTTTCGTGGGATAGAATTCACTTTCATTCATGATAAACAATATTAAAATGGCTTCCTTCATCAGAGAGTTCAGTTATGTCATTCAACATTGAAACTGTCTCTGAAGATATTTTGCGTCAATGTTATATGGATAACGTTTTGGACCCCACATTTGGTAAGTTTCTTTATTCACATGCTTAGCTTAACACAATGTTTAGCTGTATTTGCCCGATGATTTTTGTGGGTGGGGTGGCTGGGAAGTAAATGTCATGTTAATGTTTTTTTTATATTTATATAGTATGTTAGATGATATACTAAAAAGATACGAGTTTTATCATCATCCAACGAACAACTGTTACTTTCTTCAATGCTAAAATAACCCGGAAATGGCCATCCAATTTAAATGTGTTTGTGGTATTTTTAGTTTTAACTATTTTGCATTTTCTAGTTGGGTGGTTACTTCAATAATGTTGAATCACCCTTAGGATATGATGCCTGTTTTTAACTTTGTCGTTTGACGTCTTATCTGTGATATGCAAGCTTCATAACCTTTGATCCCCTTTCAAAATTCCATTTTGTTTAGTTCCGCCCATTGTTTTCTCGTTTAGGGCACACGCTTTCTGTTACTTTGGGACCATACGCCGCTTTTCATAGAATGGCACGTAAGTATCACATCGAAGGTTCCATGATAACCGCCGCATGAACACATCTGTGGATGTTTCTAAATTCAAAATTTCACCATTTCATGTTTAAATGTTGAATTCTGCTTAAGCCGGTGCTAGGGGGCGTAGATGGTTGTTTGCACTTGACTTTACCGTCCATGATCAGACTCAATCAAACCGAGCCATTAACATTCTCAATTTTGCCGTTTTGGGCTTTGTTTATGGATTCTTATTTTCTCTATTTTAGGTTAGTATGCAGCTTAATTTATTATCGACACGATATTTTCCGGTGTGAAATATAAAACAAACACGGTTTGTGAGAGATTGCATGTTGTCAAATATACAAAATATTTCAAAACAAAACAATGTAGGA